TAGTGGGTCCTCACAGGGTAGATTTAGACAGGGTCCAGCCTCCCTATACCTGCTTGGTTTCTGAGCTGGCTTCCTTGCTTCCCTGAGGATTCCGTGAGCCTCTCAACAGCCTTTCTGTAAATGCCTTTTCCTTTTAGATGGCCAGCGTCTGTGACTGCTGTTGGCAACGAAGAACCCTGGAAGATATGGGATATAAATAACCACAGGGAAAAGGGCAAAGGGGATGGAGGGAAGGAGGTGGAAGAGGATGGGGGGCGGGGAGGAGTAGGAGAAAGTGACCTGAGGTCTCACGGATGGGATTTGCATCCTGCCTCTCTCAAGCAACCTGGGGCAGATTTGTTTTTCTTTTTAAACTTTCAAACCTATAGAAAAGTTAAGAAAATAATATTTTCAACAACTCACATATCACTTACACAGATTGAACAATCATTAGACATCTTAGGGCAAGTTTCTTTTTTGTGAACCTAAGTCTTGTTTTTCTCTTTTTTCTCATCTGCAATGTTGAAAAATTAATACTGCCTTCCTTTTAAGGTTTTGGCGAATATTTAAAAAGGTAACTTGTATAAAAAATTTAATTCAGAATGCCTACTGTGCATACAATGAACTATGGTGATTTTATTATTGTTAATTCTCTCAATATACACTTATGGAACATCTATGTGGGGTGAGATTTTGGAGGCATCAGAGATCAGATGTTGTATCTTGCGGTTTGGGAATCTCTGGGGACATGAATAAGTAAATAAATCATTACAGTATAAGACAATAATATTCAACCTTGAATAATGTTCAAATACGTAAGTGGAAAAAAAAATCTCGGACTTTCAATGTTGACTTAACTCTTAAAATTTTTTATTTAAAAGTAATTTTAGATGTATAAAGAAGTTATAAATGTTGAGAGTTCTCATATGCATTTCACCCTCCTCCCTCTATTCGTACCATTTTACGTAACCATGGCATATTTATCAAAACTAAGAAATAAACATTGGCATAATATTTTAACTAAACTACAGATCTTATTCAGATTTTACCAATTTTTCCACAAATGTTCTCTATCTCTTCCAGGATCCAGTCGCGGACACCATGTTGAAATTAGGTCTTAATTCTTTTTAGTGTTTTACTTAAAGACATACAAACGTAAACCTAGCTATAAGTTTATCATGCTTTTAGCTCTTGTGTTACTATACACCAAAACAAATTTACACATTAATTTCAAGCAAAACTTTAGAACTTCAAACCAATATAATTCAAATTAATTTAACATGATTGATATTGTTTTGATGAATATCAGTTGCTACTTTGCTAAATGAACACATAGCACTGTTATAGTGTGGGTCCCAGGTCTGGCCATGATCCAGGCTTGTGGCTAGGAATAGGACCCGGATTTAAAATGTTACATTAGAGCAGTACAGCACCTGGGCCTAACACACGTAAGCATGATTCAGCTTAGTGTATCACACATGTGTGGCAGAATGCCACTATTGTTTTCTGACATATGTAAATCCCATGCTCCTGGCAATAAAGTTGGTGCCTGTCATTTCATTCTCATGTCGGCCCCTCGTGCCTTCTTCCGATTGGGCGCCTCACCGCAGAAACCTTCCCTTCTCGATCAGCTGGGTGCTGACATATGGCATGAGTCCTTTTGCCTTCTCTATCCTTACACGATCAAGTTGATTTACTTTTTCCCATCACCGTCTTCTATTTGATCAATTGCAAAACCTCTTTCACACAGCAGGCCATGACGTTGTTGGACTTTCACTTGGGTCACACTTGTCCCTCTCGTATTTCTTCATACCATCCCCCTCTCCTTCTAATCGCTGAGGGGAGACGTTGGAAGTAGTGGCACGTGGGTGGCACCGGTGAACTGTAAAATGCAAACTTGGTGCTCATACAGAACGGTAGTGCTTTTCAGAAGATGGCCAACTGGATAACCGGATACGCTTATATCAATTGTTAAAAAGATCATCATTGAAATAGGAAAAACCCTAAAGGTTTTTTTTTTATGAATACAACTGGAAGCCCCAGTTTAAGGTACACTGCAGAGATTATATGCAATGTATGACGAGAACTTCATCCTAGAGATGAAGAAGAATGAACGGGAATTACCAAGGTACGCAGAGGGCGGGGTTAAAAGAAGAGCAGGTGCAGAGGCGCCACCATGGAGAGAGAGGGGCTGGGATTTTTTAAGCTTCGAGAGAGTCTAGGGAATGAGGGGCAGAGGATGGGAGAGAAGGGGGGGCGGCCTCAGCTACTGTGACTGGGAAAGTCAGAAGGAGCCAACAAATGTGTTCAGATGTGTTCTTTTAGGTTTTGAGAGAACTTCAGTTTTGAGTTGGAGTGTGACCTGATCAGATTTGCCCATTAGAGAGATGACTTTGTTCCCTGTGGGAGACAGATTCGAGGCAGAAAAACCAAACGAAAAGGATGGCAATGGGCCAGGTAGGAGAGGGTGAGGGTTTGAGCGCTTATGGCAGTGGGAGCATAACAAAGGAACCTGGCATCTGACAGGTAGAATCAGAAGGATGTGGAGATGGATGGGCCATGGAAGTAAAGAGCTGAGAGAGGATTTTGAACGTTACTTGAAGGTTCCAGGAATGGCAACTAATAATGGAACACTTCAGGTTGTTTGGAATCTACAACGGAACTGGGTTTTTTGTTTGTTTGTTTTTGGTTTTTTGTTCTTTGTTTTTGGTTAAACAATTTTTTAATGTTTTGGTTACTGGGAGAAAATAATACTATCTGATGCTTACATAATGCTTACTCTATCAGGCACCTTTCTATGTCCTTCGTGTGCACTGTATTTTATTGAATCTAAAAGTCCATTAACTCTAAGATGCACCATTACCTCCTGTACCACTAGAGGGGAAAAATACTGTCAATTAAACATGCATGGTACACAAGCCCCATCCCAATTTCAAGGATGTTAAAAATAGATGTCCTGGACTCAGTGATTTATGGCATGTGCTCATTTATCTTTACATTTATCTTTACAGCCCTTCGAAGGGTGTTTGGCAAGTGAGGAAACAGAGGCAAAGAAAGATTAAATTCACTTGCTCTGTCCAGGCATGATCAGGGTGGCCAGGATGTGGACCAAGGCAGTATGCCCCTGGAGTCTGCGCTCTTGGTTCCAAGCTTAGTCATTTAACAACACAGCACTACATCCCAACGGACTGAATGATTGTGAGCCTAGAAACACTGGAGAGACTGCACCGTCCTCAGTGGAAAGCAACCCTGGAGCACAGTAGGTCAAGCCCCCAGGCCATGACTATGTGATGGGAGCCATTCTGGCTCCGAGGACCAAGAACAGCTTGCTTTATCTCACAGGATACACTGTGTTCCCTCGCATGTGGTTTCTGACTCTAAGCTATGACATTTCTTGTAAGAGAGACAAGATTTATAAATGGACTTGTTTGAAAAAATAATCACCTGGCACAGAGCTACGCTGTTTTCAATATTACCAAAGGCCAAAATGTATGGAACAAAGAATTAGGACTTTGAGTCAGGATGAGGAGTGATAATTAATTGATTCATTTTTACTAAGAAATATTAACTGAAAGTGTGCTATTTACCAATAAAGATATAATTGCCATAGAGGTATTTACACAGTACAGTGAAAGCATAGAATGAGAAAAAATACTCAAAAGGTGAGTTTTGAGGAGCTGGTGGGATCTGGATATAAGAAGGGGAGTCCAGGTTAGCATAGGCTAAGATTCAAAACCAGAATAATGAAACTAATGCTATTGACACAGAAGACAAATCTAACGGCCAGTGGGAAACAGGGTTGAATAAAATAAAGTGAAATGGTCTAGGGCCCTTAATGATCAAGGTTAGGGGTAGGTTATATCATATATCCTATTTCTAATACATAACACGAGTGACAGATAATATTGTGCTTTACAGGCAATGGGTTTTTCAATATTCTCGAAAATAATAAAAGGAGTATTTTTGCATAAAATTATTAAAGGTTTCTTGAAAGTCAGCCTGCATTATTTTGGAAAACAAGCATATTCCATTTTTACGACTTGCTTAAAAGGCCTATTATCCCTCTGAAGCCCATGATCTTTCTACCGTGCCACACTGCCTCCCCAAGGAGGATGGCAGTCCTGCATGTTTCCTCCAAGTACGTCTCAGGAAGAAGGCAGAATTTGGACTGGGACTTTAAGGACAGGTGAAATAGAAACAAAATTGTTAAACCCAGAGGTCCTCACCCTGCCATGAGCTGATATAGCATGTGCTCAAAACGACCCTTCTTTTACACCATGAGTACTATGTTCCAATTTCAAAAAGGCCCGTTTGACTGCCGTTAACCTACCCTTTCCCCTCGTTTTCGTCTAAGCCAAGAATTCTCAAGTCCTCAGATCTGGGCAACAGTGAAAGCGGTTCACTAAGAAACTGGAAGATGAACAGAGTCTGTGAAACGATGCGTACGTGAGGGTCTGTGTCTGTCGTTGCTGTCACACGCCCGTCTCAAAAAAACCAGATTCGAATCCACCTCTTCCCTGATCTCCACTCCTTTTGCTATTTTCTTTTTTTTTAAGTATGCTTTTTCATTTATAACTCTCCTTAGTTGACGAATGTCAAACAAATCCAGACCAAAATAATTCTTAACACACCAATTTTAAAGAGCATTTATTTGCAATGTAATATTGCAGAACACTGGAGAGAAAAGAATCACTTCCACTCTGAATTCGCACACCGGCCGCCTTCGCTGGCTGGGTCCCCTCCGCCGAGCCCGCAAGGCCTCGGATCAGCCCAGCCCGCCGGGGGCCGCGACACTTCATCCTGAGCAGAGACGCTTAAGGGCTTCCTGCCGCTGGGGACACTGAGCAGAGGGAGAGCGACTCCTGCCCCTCCCCGTAACGGGGTCACAACCAGCCCTGCAACCAAGCCGGAGGATCGTCCTCCACCGACCCAGCCGCCCCCTTTTCCTTCATCCCGCTACTTTCTCTTCCGGGCCCCGGGCGTTCTGGGACCCAGAAGTGCGTCATCAGCCTGCGCCGGCGCCGCGCGCCGCGGAGCGCTGGGAGCTGATGCTCGCGTGCACCGCCGGGAGAGGCACCCGCACCGGAACGGGGGTCACCGGCCCCGCCGCGCCACCATGCAGGTCTCCAGCCTCAACGAGGTGAAGATTTACAGTCTCAGCTGCGGCAAGTCCCTTCCCGAGGTGAGTCACCCCGCGGTTTTCGCGGGGCAGCCTCCCCTCTCCTCGGCTCTGTCCGTGGCCTGTTTAGCTAGGACCGGATCTACCCCCGACTCGGGGAGGTCCGGGTGCTGGTAGAGGAGGACACTGTTGTCACCGCGCAAGTGGCTGGGCCGAGGGGTAATCAGGGTCGATGAGCTTTGCTTGAACTTTTGTGAAGTTCTCTAAGGCCGAGGACGCGTCCCTTTGGATTTCTATGTATGTTCACAGACCTTGCCACACCGAGGAGGAAAACCTGGACAGATTGATTCCCAGACATATCTCTCTCGTTTTAATGCCGGTCCATCAGCTGTTCGTTGAGTACCTATTATATGCCAAGTGCTAGATATACAGTAGTGAGAAAGGGAAATGCAGACTTTGCATCTGCAGAATTTATGGTGTAGATGGCACTATTTTTGAAACTTGCTGAACTTAACTTGATTTCGTTGAGTCTTAGGACATCAGAGTTGGAAGGAGCTGGGAAAATCAGTGATTCTTAATCTTCTCGTGTTTAAAATATGCAACAGATCCGATGAGGAGAAGGCTGACTTATCCAGCGTCACGCACTTAGGTTCTGCAGTTTGGTTTTTATTTCTTATAACTGGCGGTCAAGTCTCCGTTCGCGCTTATAGTGAGAGGAAGCTTTTTTCCGAAGTTCATTTCCATTTTGAGATTACTTGTTAGATGGCGGTTTTAAAACTTGCCACCTTATAGCATGCTGCTGTTGGTCTGAGCCTTGCTCTTGGAGATCAGGATGAATATGAATATAGCTCTTTTCCATGTGTCTACCCCTGACAGATTTGGAGCCAATGATTAGATTCTTTCTCAAGAATTCAAGGTTAAGTAACTCCTTGTCCTTCACCTGTTCTTCACATGTGCTCTTTCTCATTTTGTTCATTCTGCACATTCGTTGAGAAGTGACCGTGTGCAGGGCAGCTCTGCTCTGAGTGTTGGGATACATGGTGAACATGCCAGGTACCTTTCTCTGATGGAAAAAGGTTAATAAGTGAGCAAATAAGAAAACTTCAGATAATAAGTGCTTTGAGTGATGAGTGCCTGGAAGAGAGCTGTTGCGGATGCAGTGTTTTGGATAAAGCCTTCAGGGAAGGCCTCTTGACAAGAGGTGACATTTGAGCAGAAACTTGGGTGACGGAAAAGAGCCAGTCGTGTGAAGGTAAGGGGAAGAGTTTTCAGTGCTGAATGGAAAGCGTAAACGTCTCACCGTGGGAATATGCTTGCAAGCTGGAGAAACAGACGAGGCACAGGTGTGATTGTGGTATGCTGATGAGGGGGGCGGGGCAGGTGACGCTGGAGAGCCCAGCCTCGTAAGCCCAGGTAAGAAGTTAGGGTTTTCTTCTTAGTGCTGTTGGAAGTTATTGTTGGATTTTAAACTGGGCTGCTGTGTGGCAAATTACTGTAGCTGGGGAGGGTGGCTGGGGGAGGGGACGGGGTATGAGGGGGATGAGTCAGGCCAGCTGAGAGACTTCAGCGGCTTGGGCTAGAATAAGCAAAGGAGATGCTAAGACACTGTGGGATTCGGGAGGTGTTTTGGAGGTGGGCCGATGGGACTTGCTAATGGATCGTATGGTGGTGAGGAGAAGTTAAGGTGAAGAGAAGGAAGGAATTGAGAGAATCCTTGGGTTTTGGATCTGAACAACTGAGTCCAATGGTGGGGAGAGGGAAGGTAGCAAAAAAGATCAAAAGTTGAAAAATTCTCGAAGATATGTTAACAGTGGGGTTAGGATTACAGAATATTTTCAGTTTCTAGGTTGTACATTCCTATAAGGTTTAAACATTTTTTTTAATGCGAGCATGTGTTATTTTTGCCAACAGAAAAACAATTCAAGTAAATACATTTTAAAATAAAGTCTCTTCATTTTCTTTAGTGGCTTTCCGACCGGAAGAAGAGAGCACTACAGAAGAAAGATGTCGGTGAGTGTTATTTTTTCCCACTTTGGCTACATTCGTGATCCATGTTATAAAGCTTTCATTCATATATTGTTATCATATCTAGGTGAAGTTTCACACAAATGCAGTGGAAAATAAACTTTTTGTCCGTTTTCTTCTTAAGAAATCTTAAGGTCGATATGTTTCTAGTGGGTGTGGGATTTGGCTTTACTTACAACCTAACAAGTCGGCCTGTTACTGTTTCATGGGTAACAGCAGGAGATGTAAGACTCCTGGGTCGGAGACCAGGACGCCGTCGCTCAGGCGGCACAGCAGCTGGTCTGAGCCACGGCAGCGTCTCTCTGTCAGTTCCCCTTGCGCTTACGTGCCACGGGCACGCTCAGCGTGACCCACATGGATGCTGTGCATGCAGCGGGTTTGTGTCACGGCTGAGGAACACCTGGGAAGTCCATGCTGTAATAGCGGGCCGGAAGCGAGCCTGCCCCTTGTCCAGAGGAGACATAGCACCTCACCTGGCATAGATAAATGGTCAGGTAAAGGAGTGGGCATGCAGCGGGTTTGTGTCACGGCTGAGGAACACCAGGCCTGGGAAGTCCATGCTGTAATAGCGGGCTGGAAGCGAGCCTGCCCCTTGTCCAGAGGAGACACGGCACCTCACCTGGCATAGATAGCCTGAGAAATGGTCAGGTAAAGGAGTGGCCAGGACCCTGCAGTCCTGCCATACCCAGCAAGATGTGTAGCAGTGCTGAGACCCAAGGAGGACTGTCTCCTAATAGTTTCACAAGTGCTTCGCCCTCCAGCATATTGAAGTCTTTTCATTTGTTAAATCTGTTTGTCAGTCTTGAGATACAGAGACTATGAACATTTTCTTTCTGAACGAAGTAATTTTATGTACAGGACATAGGAGCATGAACAATAAAAGATTATTGCAGAAGATTTTTTATTCTTTAAGTTATGGCAGCAGAGAAGATAAGGATATAAGATCAGTTTTTAACTTAAATCATTTCAGACAAATTTTCATTACATTTTCTCCATTTTAACTTGTCATATATGAAAGATGACTTATCTTCTCATATATTTTATTTAAGTTATTCTCTAAAAATCAAAGACCAAAGATATTGAAGGAGTTTCTGGATAAGCGATAAATAACCCAAGGCAGGCATCTTAGAAGAGTAGGCTTTATTCTTACTGAAGTTAGAAAATTAAAGTTTAAGTCAAAGGAAAACAAAAAATTGCTGCTTGAGTATTGTTTACGGATTCTGGTTTCTTCGGATTCTGCCATTCTACTCCGGTACTCTAGAGCGTAAGAAAACGGATTCAGATTATTTAGAGGAAAAAATAGTTCACCGACTATTTCTCCCAGCCCATCTCAGAACTATTATGTGTCTTCCAGACTGAGTGGGCCCCTTCTCATTTGATCCAAATCTTGTGTTTGTGTTTAATAATCAAGGCAATAATGTGCCATAGAGTCATGAACAGCTCTCATAATAGGCACATTGTTGTGACGGCAGCCAGCAAGAATTCCACACTTTTCTTGTGGGAAGAAACCAGTTTTTGTGAGTCTGAGTTAGAGTTTTGACCCAGAAAGATCTCGAAGTCTTCCTCCAGCCTGGACTCTCATAACTGCAGATCTGCAGAGGCAGCCTGGTGGCCGTTTCTTATATATACTTAAGATTTTGAAGGTTTAAACTTGTTATTATTCAGGATAAAACAATGGTAAGATATGTGTTTTAGCCATGATTGAGTAATGAAGCAGTTTAGTGTTTATTCTGTTCCCTCTTTATCCATGTCTTAAAACTGGACGTTTGATGCACTATTGTGGACTTTTTTTTTTTTTTTCCAATTAATGATGGTACTTTTTCCTTTCGGAAAGGTAAAAATAAGATACTTGGCTTAGAAAAATAATGTCCTAAGAAGAAAACCTGTGTGTAGTGGATAGGGCTGTGCTGGTGTGCCTTCCCAAGGCTTGATTGGGAATTGTGACCTGTTTCTAGTGACAGCTCTGCATGCTCTGTCTTCCTGTCATACGGAATTAGCACATCATAATTAAACCAGCTATTTATTTTTTCTCTTTGTAGATGTCCGTAGGAGAATTGAACTTATTCAGGATTTTGAAATGCCTACTGTTTGTACCACTATTAAGGTGTCAAAAGATGGACAATATATTTTAGCAACCGGTAAGCATCTTTTTGATGATGATTTATATATATTTCATAGCAGGATATGCTGTGGTGGGGAAGGTCACTTTTTGAAATTACCCTAACATTTTATTATAAAAAGATTTCAAACATACAGAAATATTGAAAAAATTGTGCAGCGACCATCCATGTACCCACTACCTAGATTCTGCAATAGTATGCTGTATTCACTTTACCACATATCTGTCTGTTCATCTCTCTGTCCATCCATCAGTCCATCCTGGTTTTGAATGTATTTCAGAGCAACTTACAGATATCAGTATACTCCACCCCTAAATGCCTCAGCGTGTAAATCATTAACTAGCGTTCAGTACTTATTTATTGCTTTTTTAAAGGAAAATTTACATATGGTGAAATGCACACATTTAAACTTTACTATTTGATGCGTTTTGACAAGTGCATACACCTGGCTAGCCCAAACCCCTATCAAGATATGGAATAGTCTTTGTACCCAGAAACTTCCTTCATGCCCCTTATGGTCGATCCTGCTCCCACCCATGCATGGGCTGCCACTTTATTTATTGCTTTTTTAAAGGAAAATTTACATATGGTGAAATGCACACATTTAAACTTTACTATTTGATGCGTTTTGACAAGTGCATACACCTGGCTAGCCCAAACCCCTATCAAGATATGGAATAGTCTTTGTACCCAGAAACTTCCTTCATGCCCCTTATGGTCGATCCTGCTCCCACCCATGCATGGGCTGCCACTGCTCTGACTTTTTTTTTTTTTTACTGTAGACAAGTTTAGCCTGTTTTAGAACTTTATGTAAATGCCATCATATGCTATGCATTTTTTCTGGGTAAGACTTATTTCCCCTAGGGTTCGTATTTGAGACTCGCACATTATTAGGTGTGTCAGTGTTTTCTTCTTAATTACCAAATAGTATTTCCTTGTCGGAATGCACAGTTAATTTATCCACTCTCCCTTTGGTGGACACCTGGCCTATTTTCACTTTTTGGCTGTTATTGATAAAGCGTTACATACAAGTCTATTTCGAGGACATGGCTAGGAAATAGGGTCGGGGCGTGTGGTGTTTAGTTTGATGAGAAGCTGCCAGACATTTTTCCACAGTGGCCAGATCATGTTACATTCCTACCAACAATGAATGAGAGTTTCAGGAAAGGTCACTTTTAATGTATGATTTTGGGTATCATATACTTAATATTTTATATGTCACTAACATTTTATATTAGCAGTATTCATCAGTATTAAAAAGCCAGAATATGGGAACATTCAGTGTGTCATAATTTAGAATAGCATTACTCAACCATTTTTGGTTGTGATTTTGGAACATATATATATATCTCCATCTCGTGTATTGCCCACATTTATTTGCTGGCTTAACATTATCCATCTGTATCTCTTCTCCAACCACTCTCTTATTTGGCAGAACTTTTATACATCTGCATGCCAGTGTCTTATTCTGTGTTAACGGTTCTCAGTATTAACACTATCCACTTTTCTTAGCTTCCAGTTTTATGTTTAGAATATACATAAAATATAGTTTTATATATATTTATATATTTTTATATATAATTACATATTATATAATATACATGCTATTATATGTAGTATACGTATGACATATATACTAACACATAACATGTAACATATATGCTAACGTGTAACGTATACACTATATTTAGTCCCGTGCCGCATCACGGTGTTTTGGTCAGTGACAGACTGTGGTCCCGTATGATTATAATGGAGCCAATAATTCCTGTCACTCGCGATATCCTAGCGTTGTAACATCATAGCACACCGCATCACTCACGTGTCTGTGCTCGCTGTCCGTGGCATGAAGTGCGGCAAGCGCGGTCACAGTTGTCGGCCGGGGTATGTGCGCTTGCGCTGCGGCCCGGTCTCGGAGCGATGCGCTCTCCTCCGACTTCTCGGAACCGAGCCCCGGAACCGAGCCCCGTCGTTGAGTGGCGTATGACTGCGTAGGATGTGTACGCGTGTAAATTTATATACGCTACTATTTTAAAATGAGATCTTGGGCTTTGGTACATGCCGGCAAACATAGGACTACTTCAGCTCTTTCTTTTTAAAATATCTTTATTGGTTTTAAAAATCTGTCTTTTTTTTTTTCCTGATTGCAAACATGATAAACTAATATAAAATGCAAACATTATAAAAATACATAAGAAAGAATGTGAAAGGCCCTAAAATTGCACTTCATAGAGATAAATAAGCACTGTGCTTGTTTCTCCAACTTTTTTCTGTACAAAATCCTGACATTATCATTGCTGAGTTTCACAAAAATGCGAC